TTCAGAAATTAGAGATTATTCTTCGACCTCTATTTTGACCCAAAAATCCAAATTTGAAGAAAATTGCCGACCCGAAGGTATACTGTAACCTTAATTAGTTGGCTCATTCAAATAAGCCAGTTTACACACTTCAATTTGCTGGGTTCATTTTTGCTTTCATTGAACTGCATAGATTAAAATAGGCTCTACAGGAACAGATTGATCTGATTTAGAATGCGCAATTAAAAATGTTTAAAAAATACTTTTTTCCAATTTTTACTAGCATTCAAAAACAGCCCTCCTTCATTGCTCCCCACCCTGAGTGGCACCTCACAATAAGGACGTCTGTGAGTTACTGGCAAAAATTTCAAACTGATGACTCATGGAAGGGAGCACAGATGGCTGTTTTCGCAGGCTAAACTTTTACAAATCTCCATAAGAAAATTTGCACCAAAAATCAAGGTCAATAAGAAATTAGCTACGAACTGAGCTAAGACAGTGAAACAGTTAGAATACGGGAGACAGTAAAACATTTGGTGCTTGGTAAGCTATGCCCTTGATGCAAAAAGTCTTCCATACAACCTCAGCTCAAAACAATTCTTGGCAAAATATGTTAAAAGGAATTTCTGTCACCTGTTGGTCTTTCGAGCCTGCAGATGAACTGAATGACTGCGGCACAAACTCATTACTTTCTATCTGTAATATAGCCTCCTTGTTAGGTGCTAGCTGCTCTGTTGGAAAAATAATAAAAAAATCAACTGATAAATAATTTGTGAAAATAAACAGAAACACACCCTTATTGTCTTCTACCCCCATTTTCTTTGGATGGCAGTTTCCTATATACTCCCACCATAAAATAATTATCCAATGAAATAGCAGAATGTCCATGATAGCTGTCAAGTTTTTACATAGCAAAATGATTAAAAATAATAAATAATTATTGGATGAGATTTTTGTGATATCAGGAATAATCAAGGTTGAGGTAAGTGTTATCAGCTGAAGCCGAACACACCGAACACAGTTTATTTTCGACAAGCCACGTTCTCACTTTACTGTCTGTGAACTTGACACTGTTCTTGGAAATCATGCATTGTACGTGCAACCTGCAGATTATTTAGTAATCTGCTAGCAGATTAGTGAATAATCTGTAGGTTGTGCTGTATCCCAGAATTAACTGTAGGCTTTTAGCCAATGAGAAGACAGATGACAACTACAATGTATAATAATAACATTACCACCACCACCACCACCACCACCACCAACAACACTAACACTAACACTAACACTAGCAATAACAGAAACAACAATAACAATAATAACAATAACAACAACAATAATAATATACAAGGACTCACTTAATTCCTTTGTAGCTTTGTCTCTTTTCAGGACTTCATCTTTGGATTCTGTTCACAAAATCATTAATAGAAAAGTGCATTTCAAGGTAGAGGGGCTCACTCACGGTATTTTGAGTTATTTTGGCCACAAACAAAAATACCTTTAAATGGTAGGAAACCTGAAAATAACAGTTTAATAAGATAGAAAACACCAAAGAGATAATGATAAACCATAAAGGAACAAGGATGGCTAAGGATGGAGAAGATTAACACGGATTACAAATGATGAATTTGAAAAATTGAGTCTAGACTTTTCAATATACACAAAAGTTGTGACTGAGCTCCTTTAACATTCACAATAAAATGGAAGTTGAAACAACAGAAAAAAAACTCAAAATGATGTTCACACATTACCTGCTTTTGCCAGAGCTTTCTTCATCTTTTGTTTTGTTTTTTCCTTTGAGCTCTTTAAGAAAGAAGAGGTAAAATTTGTAATGAGATCTAAGTTGAAAAATGAAACAGAATCCAAAACTCATTTCACATTCACCCAAATCCATGGTACACCCCAGATTTCAATTTCAATAAATTTGAAACTAAAATATGACCACCTTTACTTTGGAAATATGTAAATGGCTTTGTTAAATACATGTGGCTGGCTCGTTTGTAACTTCTGGTCTCTTTTGTCCTTGTCTTCCTACCTCACCAATTCTTATCCTTGCTAATTGAACTCCGTTATTTCAAACTCAAAATCATTTCTCTTGGATTTGCCCTTCAGTCATTTACTATTGGCTATTTTCAAACTTCTGCTATTTCATAATGTTTTTGTTTCCCTCGAGAGCAACCTTGTTCCAGGGTCTCTCATCTTACCATCCCCTGGAGTGAGCAAGGAGAGACCCTGGTTGGGTCTGGTCACGTGTCTCCCAGAATCTGGGAGATAACAATTAAGTTATTGAAGGGATGGGTGGCCTAGTAGGAATTTTGTCTATACTTAGCCTACGGTAGTGCGGGATGTGTTGTCACCAAAGTAAACCAAGAACGATATGTTCTGCGGCAATGTCCGGTGGCAATATTCGGCAAACGCTGAGGAAAATGGAAATCCAAGTCACTGAAGGTTGTATGGTTCAGTGAAGGACGTTA